ATTCACGTGATGATTCCACCATACTAGACAGTAATGTGTATTTATATCAGAATCATTCCATCAATGATATTTTCTTGAAAACTTCTGTATGTGTCTCACGATTACAATCAATGTCACATCATAGCTATTATTAAACAGATTACAGACAATGAAACGTTTAGATTTAGGCAAGTCATTTGTTAGTGAGCTGAATTGAATCTTTCTTTCTCAACGTGCTCGCAATACGAAACATCCAGATGAGAAATGAACAGTCGAATGGGAAAATCAAGCTATCGTGGTAGAACTGGTGATTTCATATCGTCAATGCAATTAATTGTTGCAGCACGTTTACGCCAGATACAGGGAATCACCTTCCTGACTTGATTAATGGGGTCACAAACATTTGATTAAATCTGAATGAACGTATCTATTAGCAAAAGGTTCTCACGGGTACACAAGCACTACCAGAATGTTACCGAGCGAATCACTTTGTTATATTAATACCACAAACTTTTTTTCTTTAATTTGTTATCAAAATAATCTTCAACAAGTCTCTTTCTTCGTCATTTTTCCCAATATTGATCAATTATACCAAAATTTGCTCACCAATGTCTGCGTTCTTCATTACAAAGAGAGAAAAGGATTTTTATCCCCAAATATTCATCGAAGTGCTAAGACAGGCAAGAATTTACTAGTTCAAATATGTATTTCTTGCACACATGTATAAATAGTACTCTTCACACTGAATAAATATCATACCATATCAACGCATTTTACCAGCTCACTCACACACCTTTATTCAAACATTATTTTTTCATTCAAAGAACACAAAGAAGTCACCTAGCTTAATTAAGTTGTCAACACAATATGAACTTATCCATTCCAAAACAAAACCACAAATGTCCTCAATGTCATGATTTGGAAAATGAACAACAATATATTTTACCCCGTAAAATTACTTATTTACAATTATTTTTCAATTCTATTACATCGAATTATTACCAGGAACGATTTATTTCTGGTATACATACAAAATGTAGGAAATATTTGTTAAATACTGTGACAATCGATTAAATGTGATTGTATTAACGACGCAGACGTTTGATGAGAAATGGAGATTAATGCTGAATGGATTGGCAAGTCTAAATACTAGGACCAGCGGATAACTTTGGCAGAATAAAACTGACTAGATTGCCAATTGCCCGATGGACAAACGGCTAAAGGATCGCTGGATTGATATGACTGATAACATGGGTATACTTGTTTGTGTTTGCTGGATAAACACGGTTGCATTGTGAGACCATCTGATTAGGAGTGACTGGATTAAAGTGGCACCATTTACGTTTAATTGTGTCTATATATTAACACGTGATTTGAATTCACGTGAAGGAGAAACTAAATCAACCAATTACAACATTGTGTCATTGCTACAGGTTAGTCGATATGTTTGTCATGAGTCTATGTCAATACATGTCAAGCTATTCTTTATCAAGTCTACAGCATTATGTGGTTGGGCTATATTATCAGGAGTAAATGTCAATTTTAAGTCATCATATTATTTATCGAGTCAAAGACATGTGGCGAGGCTACTTCACCCCGAGTCAATATCGATGTGAGACATCCTATTCTTTATAGAGTCAAAAGCATCGTATGCTATTTATATTTCATCAGCAGTTAATGATGATATGAGTCAGCATATTTCTTTTTAAGTCCTTATCCTGAGCCAATGCTGATGTTAGTCAACATATCCTTTGCTAAGTCATAAGTATGGTGTGGTTAGGCTGTACCGTGAGTTAATGCTGATGTAAGTCATCATATTGTTTTCTTTATTGAGTCAATAGCGTCGGGTGGTTAACTGTATCATGAGTTCATGCTGATGTGAGGCATGCTATTCTTTAACGAATGAATAACGTTTTGTGGTACGTTTGACAAGTCTCTCTAAGCGTTACGTCAATTTTATACTAAATAAAATTAAAACCATTATAATGCGTCATAAATAGTGACTTTAAAATGATTTGTATACATCTAGTGTCCTAGCTACAATATGATACAATATCTGTGGATATTAATGTTTTTATTGTATGACATTTGTTTACATTTTGATACTACTGATTAAAGATCAATTATCCATGCTATACAATATTCTAAGTGTTCATAAGCGTTTGTTATTTGTAGAAATTGCGTCTGTTCAACATCCATTTCCTACATGATCGAACAATATTTGATCAAATTACAATTTCAGGACCTGGATGAGAAAAGACGAATAACACATTTGTCTCATTACTTAACATTTCTATTACATAACGTTAAAGTACTGCGAAATATCGTGCCCGCAACAAGCATGTTAATTGGTTAAGTCGACCGTAGTTGTATAAACACATATGCTAAGTTCGCGACGAAACAACCAAACCAAACAGATGTTTTATTTTGTAACGTTTATCGTCTCGAGAAAGTTTACATTTGTATGAACGCTTAGCGCATGAGAAAAGAGGACGTATGATATAAACAAGGGTGTTGAACGTAAAACACATTTTTTTGTGATGTAGAATTTAAATGTTTATGTATATATATTTATAAGATTTTATCATTTACATTTTCTATGCATTCTAATGGAAAATAGCTGATCAGAAAAATCAAACTTAGGATTACTTAACACACAATATTGTAGTGAAAAAAACCGGAACTGCCAACGCAGCTTTACACCAATACATCAACACGCAGACGACCTTCAAGATAAGTGAAATTTCCCGCCACCTGCCACGAATAGACGACAGTATATCAATACAGCGTTTGCCGGAAGTACTTGACTAATTAATCCTCTGTTAGAGCTAATTTCGCATGCAGCATTCGTCAAGTCCTTGGACTAGACCGCAATAAGATCGCACAATCTATATATAACTTTAATGATGAAGTGTTTGATAATTCTTACTCCTGGTTACTGCTAATCAGAACCCCAATAAAGAAGATGATGATGTTATTCAATATCGATCCTGGTTATAACTGTTTTCTTGTTCAGTACATAGGAATTATTTTCTGTAAAAGGCAATGCTTATTTTCTCGCAAAAAGAGATAAATTTTGGTTGCATAATATTCAAGGACAACCCGTATAGGTTAAATTGATTTAAAATAGAACATAGTTTTATTTCGTCTCGAAACACATGCAGGTATATTTATTTTCTTTCGCATACTGACGTGTGGGCGTGGTGGAAACGCTTACTGGCACACTAGTATTTGCTACAGAAATATGGAAAGCCAATCTAACATTATACAAAGTGCAATATCAATCCTGTTTTTCACCAAGGACATGTTATATACAACAGGAGCTATGTTAATATAATTTGAGATCGCTGGTATGTCTAATATGATATATGTGAATATAAACTTTATTTATATTTTCTGTACGACAATTCCGAACAAGTTATTTCAGCATATGTAAGCAGCAGGTAGGTCTCACTGTTGAAGGAAACCAGAGTACCCTGGGGGAACCTAAATGGTCATGTTCCCTTGTGGATCATGACCCCTACCTTTTCATGCTCATTCGGGGAACAGACACCCGGACGGCTACGCGAAAGGGACTACCCCAAAAGTTATCATATAGACTATTCAAGATTTCTTGCATATCATAAACTCTCATTCTAGTTAGTGAAAAAGTGCTATTCACTTATGTGAATTTTGTACAATCATAAACGATATAAAGAATAAATATTATATTTTATAAAAAAATACATATCTTAAATCGTACATGAAATATCTTTTATAATTTAAATCTCGCTTCTATATGAGGTATCAGATACATATAAGAGTCCGTCTCTCCAAAATCATTTGGAGCGCTTCTGAATATGACGAAAGAAATACACTATGCTTCTCAAAGGTGTTGGAACATGTATTCCTTATCCATATGATTCTACAAAATGTATTGGTAATTAAATCTGACACAAAACTAAATATCTCAGAAGTACAAGGCGAGTCACAGTACATCTTCTGACTCTGACACTAACATCGCTCTGATCAAATGTATTTTGGTAATTGAATCCCAATTTTCTTTATGAGGTAAGTTGGGAGCCTCAGTAGAAATCTTCCCTTCACTAACTTATTTTTTCAAATAAAAAATCCGTCTTTCTTGGCTGATACATACCAGGGTCTTTTAAAATGGTAGTTGTTACATTTACTTAATACTCAGCATTTTAGGACAGCTGCTTCTTTAGTCAGCATGTTGTGACTGGATGATATGTCCTGCTTGGTATCTTCGGCACAATACTCCAGTGAGGTAGCGCTATGTAGTCAGCATCATTCTCGCGCTTGAAAAAGGAGGCAAACACGAACAAACCGCATCCTTGAAAAATCAACACATTCAAAACAAGCATGCAGTTCGCATAGCCCTTTCTTAATCAGCAAGAGGTAGGACAGTGAATATTACAAACCAAACCAAATAATGTCGCTTATATGTGATTTGAGCTGACAAATCATCAATAAATACCATCATGTTAACCATACATTTAATACAAACACTTCTGTGTTACTAATGTATTAGTTACCCCATCGTGGGAATATTGAAAACGATTAAGTTATTTGTGAGGGAGAGGGTAAACTGTTGTAGACGGTTTTAATTGTTCGCATGTGACTCCCAATATATGCTAATAACACTTTCAAGTATTTTTGTCAGTTTCAATGATGGTTACTATGGCACATGACTTAGATATTATATAAGCTGTTGACCTCTTGTATTTGTGAAAGTGGAATTACCTTCTTAGATTGACAAAACATGATGTGTCTGGTGTGATAGATAAAATAGAGACGACTCCCTTCTGAAACACTTACCATTCCGGTACTTTTTCAGGAACAGTCATGTAAATGCTGTTGATTATGCCTTCTTTTAACTATTTTTGAGTTTGAATAACTTGTTGTTGACATGTCGTTATTTTCTTTGTTTTTAATACAAAATTGTTAGTGAGATCATTACGTTATATTCTCAATAATACGATCTATGTTAATCAATTTCAAATTTGTGTTTTTTATTTCAGAAATCTGTTTCCGGATAACCTCATCGTTTCGTGTATCACTGGAGTAAGTTTTATAAATATCGATTGATATTTTAGTTTAAAAAACTCCATTAAATTCAACTTTAATTGTATTTTAATCTTTAAATGATTTCATTAGTATATGAACTGTTGTCGACTTTAATCTACTTGACTTCAGGATAACTCTTTATCTTAAATTACGTATGCATATTAGTGAGTTAGATAGTAGACACTGGGATATATGTATATGTATTTGTGTGCATGAATTTCAAGTTAATTTCATTATTAACACAATGAATGGATGTTTGTTATCGCTAACAGTGTCTTATTATGTTTGTTTATGTGTTGTATATATATATATGTATGTAAATATCTATATGAACCTGATTGATTGTTAATATTTGTTTATTATAAATCATTTGGGAGGGCCGTGTGGAAGATTAGTATACTTACACTAAACATGTTACCCTCTGAAAATAAAGAATTATTATCATTACTATGAACCTGCAAATATAAATAGACGGATTTGAGATATTTCACTGGGCGTAATTTTGTGTAAAAAGTTCTATTCTTCACGGTTTATCCGTATTTTGAATGAATTTAAGAAACCTTTATCAGACATAATTGCAGATGTTGACATCGTAATATGTATTTTATTTGTATTACGCATTTTAGATAGCTTTGCGTTTTGCTATAGAAGAATAACGAGGAAAATTGCATTTTAAAGATTTGCAGGAATTCGGAGGGAAAAATTTTGTTTGAAATTTATCCCGCTCTAGTTCTTAAAAGCCATAAAGATGTTGTTTTGTAATATATTTCAAATAACGATAATTTGCAATGATACGTATTTTTTCAAATTTTAAAAAAAAATCCATTACTTGAGGTTTAGTCGAAACATCATTTTTTTGTGAAAATTTCCTTATAATATTTTTCCAATAATGCCTTTTACAATGTTTCTGTATCCAATGTCTCGTAAGACGACTGTGCATGCGGTTATCCAGGTCTTGAATAGGATCAAAGAATTGTGTTTAACGGTTCTTGAACCGACGACCACATTTGAATTTCAAATAACTAGCTGTTGCTAATCATTAACATAGAAATGATATCTTCTACAAATTCTATTGAAATGCATTACAAAACTGCACAAGAGCATTTACCAAGTGTTCAATTAAACAGAAATTCACCCAAAACAATTTCTCTAATGTATTTCTGAAATACCTTGCGGTTTTTACAGTACAGAACTGCTTTGAAAGAAGAAGTCATCGAAAAGAAAATATTCAACTCTACATTGAACGGTACTGGATTTGGTGACATTGTCCTGGCTAATGGAACCAATTATTCGGGATATGGAGATATCGTCAACGGAACTAACCAAACCATGGACCAAGTTGTTACAGGTATATGCTAGAGACTGTTTGATTTTGTCCTTATCCTTCTATGAATATTTCTTTAAAAACCTTTCTTTTTTTTGCCTGCACTGTTACCTTATGACGTTGTCAACCACTGGCTATTCCCTAATCCATTGAATTACAATCATTCAGCTAATAACTGCCCTCTGTGCACTTGTCTAGTATTTTAGTTTTCTTATTTTTGTAGTTGATAAAAATGAAAAAAAGGGTCTGGGTAAAGGCTCGTGGTGGCATCATGTAGACGTTCAATAAAAAACCTTTGACGTTTTGCTGAACAACCATTAACTGCATAAGGAATACTGTTTCTGACAATAGAAGCACTTCCTTTATTACATTTGAAGACAAAAGGTGTGCTACCATAAAACAATGTCGACTCCTATCATTTTCATAAGTAAAAACTTTGGGTTCTGTCCCTAGGCCGAGACATATCAGAGTTTTTAAAAATGGTAATTACTACTTCCTGTTTAACGTTCAGCATTGTGGTAGTGCAATGACTGATTTGTCCTTTGTCAGTATAATACCAGGCGGTGTATCCTGCTTAGGGCCTTCGGTAGTTTACTTCAGTGTGATGACACTATATAGTCAGCTTCAGATCTGCGCTATCAGAATAAGACTTGCACTTACCTCGAATACATGTAGATATCGTCCTTAAATGACCCTGGCTATTTATAGGACATAAAACAATATAAACCAAACCAAATCTATTGATAATGCTAGACAATAGATAACACAAAAACAAGAGCTGTCACTTCCCTCCTACCAGTATAGCTATTTATAATCAAGCATGATCGCCAAACACCTGAAAGATCGATGTACCATGCGAATCAAGCAGACCCATCCTGTTTGTTTGTTTGTTTGTTTGTTTGTTTGTTTGTTTGTTATCGAGCAGCTTATTGTATTGTATTGTTTTTTTTTTTTATAATTTCCATACATTTTTAATTTCTTGTTCATGATGTCAAACAGTACATCAAAATCAGATCTTGATTTATAATCAAGACACAAGTATTTCTGGTCACTCGGATTAGTACAAGACAACAGTGGAATCTCCAGACTGCTGGTAATGGTTTCACTATGTTACATTGGTAGTCTTGCTCTAGCCAAGCGGGAGTATGACTTTCAGCTAATAAAAAATACAAGAAAACTCCTCTACATAATTAAAATCCAAAGTCAATTAAACAAGGGCAAAACATGAACAATAGAAAGATCCTACACGGAGAAAGAGAACAAGGAGAATAAGATCATGTGTTCCGGAAGAGTAAGCGTCTTCTGCTTCATTGACGACATCCATCTTGTAATCTTGGTCAATCCAAGTAAGTAATGTCATGTTCTCAAATATGAATTAGGTATAAAACAACGGAACTAACAGACAAATTAACAAGCCTCAAACAAAGAAATATAGTGTTTCTCAATAAGATCAATATGGCGACCGTAAAACTCCACTAACATTTTCATCAATCTTTTAAAACACTGTGTTTCGAGTTTGTCCGTCAGTTGACAACTTCTGGCATATAAATCGTGATAATGTCTGAAAACATTCCTTTTGCAGTCTATAAAATATGGAAACCTGTGTTGTTTTAGTTGTACGTGAAGTTATCTCCGTTCCAACCAAGGGAGAGACAGGACAGGTGAATATCCTCGGTCTGGTCGTCTTCTCGGTGTGTATGGGAGTAATTATCGGGCGCATGGGTGTCCGGGGGAAACCGCTCGTCGACTTTTGCAACAGTTTAGTCGAGGCCACCATGAATCTCTTCGTCGTCTTCATTTGGTAAACAAAAGTTTTTCTATCCTGGGTATTTGAGAAATGTTTCAGCATTAATTTATCAATATGCAGATATATCTTACTAAGAGCATTTCGTTTCTTATTTAAGGTTTTATTGAGAAAATACCAAATTTCTATTCTTTCCAGGTACTCTCCTGTTGGTATCACATTCTTGATAGCAGGAAAGATAGTTGAGATGGAGGATTTCAGCGTCCTCCTCACGCAGGTGGGACTCTACTTCCTTACCGTGTTGTGTGGACTATTGGTTCACGGCGCCCTTGTCCTTCCAGGGCTATACTTCCTTTGTACCAGGAAAAACCCATACAAGTTCATGTGTGGAATTTTCCAGGCCATGGCAACAGCATTCGGAACATCTAGCAGGTAATATAGAATCAGCGACATAAAAACATTCGGAACATCTAGCAGATAATGTAGAATCGGCGACATATAAAAGCATTCGGAATATCTAGTAGGTAATGTAGAATTGGCGACATATAAAGCATTCGGAAAATCAAGTAGGTAATGTAGAATTGGCGACATATAAAGCATTCGGAACATCTAGTAGGTAATGTAGAATTGGCGACATATAAAGCATTCGGAAAATCAAGTAGGTAATGTAGAATCGGCGACATATAAAACATTCGGAAAATCTAGTAGGTAATGTAGAATTGGCGACATATAAAGCATTCGGAACATCTAGTAGGTAATGTAGAATTGGCGACATATAAAGCATTCGGAAAATCTAGTAGGTAATGTAGAATTGGCGACATATAAAGCATTCGGAACATCTAGTAGGTAATGTAGAATTGGAGACATGTAAAGCATTCGGAAAATCAAGTAGGTAATGTAGAATCAGTGACATTAATGAATTATTGACAGGATCTATGCATTTGGAACATTTATTAGGTTATACGTAAAAAATATCATATATATTAGAGATGTCGACTAACCTTGGAATCTTTGTTTTCTGTCTTTTGGAAAGATCTTTTTTTTTTCTTCATAATGTCTCCCTTGCTTCACGTTTTGGCCTTTAGTTGGGCGTTTGCCCTTGCGGGGAATGCTTTGGGTTCGTGGGCCGAGACATACCAGAGTTTTTAAAACAGATACTCGCGATTGCTTCTTTAACGTAATACACTTTGGTAACGAGTGGCTTGTCCGATGTGAGTATGACTAGGTGAGGTATCTACTATAGGCATTCAGCCTTTTTGTCATCAGCAAGTTTTCCTCTCAGAGTAAAAGTGATCGTTCCGGAAACCTGCAAGTAATCAATATTACAGACAATGATTTGTATGAATAGACATTCTGTGTGTTTGATACATGATTGAACCTATTTGATCAGCTGTGTGGACATAACGACTGTTTGATTGTTTTGATACAGCCCACAATAGCACACTTTCAGAGGTACGGCGCCTCGTTTCGTATTTATCGTGATTTTTCGCATCCATAATGTCTTGGCTACCAACACATACAACAATATAAGTTTTGATTAAAAGAAATCTTTGCAATCCTTTTTGAAAGTAGCGTTTGAAGATGAACATATTATTTTATATCGGTCTGCGGTGGGTTTGGTTTAAGGTCGCAAAACATTGAATCTAGACAAACATCTCGCACCGTGTTTGTCCTCAGGGGTCTGTCTCACAGATATCATAACGTATATATTCTTTGTTCAAAATTCTCCAGCGACCGCCACAGTAGACCTTGATCATATTGAGGAACGCATTTAAAAATCACACTGCCATGTTTGATCCGTTCTCCTTTTTAATTAAAACACAACCTACCAAAGGCATTTCTCCCTGGGCACGGCTATCGCTGTAAGCCGCGCCATTATGGATGGGATTACTGTGATGAAGATATTATGTAGAGCAATACTTCATTAACCAAAGTAGGTTGCCGTGTACGAGTTGGCAAATAGATAAGATATCAACTTATAATGTAACTATCTAGAAATCAATACATCAATCATTCGAATTTCTTCGTTTTTACAGCTCAGCATGCACGTCTGAATTTTCACTTTTTCCAATCAATGTTCAGATTCTTCAGTCGGTCTTAGCGTTCAAAATGAAGGTCCTTAGTTTAACTATGAAGTCCTAGAGGGACAGCTAATGTACGGTTCAGTTCATTTCCTTCTGGCTCATCTGTATCAAACTCTTAGTGAAATGCTTTATTCACTTTGTGTTTCTTCTGAACAATCTTACAATAGTACAAAATTGAAATCTGTGTAAGATATTAAATTATGAGTATAGAACAACACCATGTCTACAATTGGACATACAACTCGAATGATTTTATTCTTTCCTTGTCGCTACCAGGTTTCACCATTTTAGGATTCTAGCGTCGAAGTCGGACGAAACAGTTGTAAATACTGTTTAATTCATTATTTAGTTCTATGGTATCTACACCATTGCAGCTCAAAATTTCCATGGAGATGATATTCAATTGTGTATATTTTGTACAATTTAAAAATTAAATCAAGTTTCTATTTTTATCTCCTACGTCGGTACTAAACAAATGGCTCCATCGGCAACCAATTATGGAACGCAGTTTTGTTTACGAAGACTGACGTCCAAAATCAATCAACCGTTAATTAGATGTAAACCATAAAACGGTACTTCATAATTAATGCAGTTCAATATCCCTGCCCAGCTATGAGGAAATGAGTATCAATTGGGAGTTTCTCGAACTATTGTAAATCGAAAGACCATAATTTTGGAAATTTCAGTTGAATGGAACCAAATTGAAAACCAGATCTGCCTCTTCGTTTTACACAACTATGCCTAATTTCAGTTAAATGTATCCGTCCTTCAAAGAATAAATAAAATGTGAAAGTATAAAATATGAGGCAATGATGGCAACACAACATCCCCCAGCCATTTCAAAGACCCACAAAGTGATTTTAAGATACATCAGAACTATCAAAAAGAAAAGCATGTTCAATTCTTGAAGAAAACTTCATTTCTGATTCATATTTTAAACATATCCTGACATGGTGGTTTTATTTCTCTTCTTTTCAGTTCTGCTACAATGCCCGTTACTCTCCATTGCCTGGAGCACAATAACCACATTGACCCCCGTGTAAGTACGTTTGTGATCCCCGTAGGAGCAACCATTAACATGGACGGCACTGCGCTGTATGAAGCTGTTGCCGCACTGTTCATAGCACAAGTCAACGCTGCAACCATGTCTTTCGGACAAATCGTCACCATCAGGTATTTAGTTAAACTACTAGATGTTTAAGAAATTTGCTGTTATTAGGAATTTTTTTTATTGTAAACAGGAATGACTGACGTCGACGTTCAGTTAACTTGTAAATCTTTCTTTTGTTCGTAATTGGCCCTTGTTTTTACTTAATTTGAATTTGGATTGTAGCTATATAATTCTACATAATTCAAAAAGAGTGCATCCAATAATATCGGTTGATCTTCAATTTAGTATCACTGCCACGGCTGCATCTATCGGAGCGGCTGGTGTACCCCAGGCTGGACTGGTAACCATGGTGATCGTTTTGGCTGCTGTTGGGCTTCCAATCGATGACATCACGCTTATCCTCGTCGTTGATTGGTTCCTGTAAGTAAACACCAATCCATTTACTGTTTTATAACGTCATTTTACTGCGAATATAGACATGATACATTTTACGTACAATATGAAACATACAGAGCATCTGGAAAATCAAACTGTCTGAATCGTATTTCCTTTCAAATATCTTGATGAACAAGCAACGTCATGTTATAAACTCGTTTATGTTCCTAGTGTGTTTTTGTTTGTGTTTTTTAAATCGCTATTTGTTTAGTAAATTGTCTGGTTTTTTCAAGACTGATAAACCCAAAGCTCGTGTAGAAAAACGTTCTCATCACAATAGCTGATTACTTTCTCTCTGTAACAGTGACCGTTTCCGGACTATGACGAACGTGACCGGGGACAGCCTCGGAGCAGGACTTGTATACGAATTGTCCAAGCATGAGTTGCCTGCTTTGGACGCAGAGGAAGTTGAACCCACTGCAGTCACGACAGAAAACCCGGGATCAAACAAAGCCGTCTCCAATGGGACTGACTCGATGACGGCTGTGTAAAAATATCATGTATGACGTCATATCTTTCCTTGATCAACGAGCCGATGTCGAATGACGTCATGATGACGTCATTCGATGCTTGTCGTTTGCAATTATAAGACGATTGGTGGAAGTTTTGGACATCAGAGACCATGCGTATTTAAACGAAATGTAAGAGATAAGACGCACGTGAGAAATATATCAGGTTCCCTTTGCTAGACGGCAGCATACTAAACTTACACAAACGGAATTATGTACATCACCGAGGGTTGTGCACGTTTTTTATTTTCTGTATAGAATGATAATAAGTGTTGTTTGGTTTTTGTTGTATATTCTTTGAAAACTGACTTTTCAAATATAATATATTAATACGTCGATGTATAGATCTATGGAAAATATACTCAAAAATTTATTATTGATGGACTGAAAACTTGTTAAAAGGATTTAACAGGAAAAGGGGAGTGAACAACAAGATCATTGTGCATTCCTTGTTGATAATAGGTCATTATTGTTTATACTGTTGTAAACTAAAGAGAATAGTAACTTAATATTAGAAAGTATTAGAAATTATATCAAATTGTCACTAAATAGTAGAATGACGTTTGAGAATAAGAGAATATCGTCAGACAGTTTGTTGATTATAAAACACTATCATTTATTAGTTAGATACTGTTATATTACACATATATTGCTGATATAATGTTTCATCGTGTAAGTACATCATAATTCAATGTTATATCGTAGACTAGGTTTTTCACTGTATAAATCATTTCCCTTTCTCACGTAAATAGTCCCCCTTTTTATCCCGTACATTTGTATGTATATACTTTTATATAACCATTCATTTGTTACTTTATGCAATCAATATGCATACATTGATCTCAGTATCATAATACCTGTAAACAAACGAGTTTATTTGATACAAAATGACCAGGCGCTCTGGGAATATGAAAAACTACCTACTAAAATAATAAGATATTTATCGAACACACATTTATAAACAATAATAAACAAACCATTTTTATTGCCATACATTTTATTCTTTATTTTCTCATTTTCATACAAAAACGATTATTAAAATCTTCAGCAGTTGAATGAATGAAAAAAAAATGCCAGTTTGAGGTAGTTATTTATCTTCTTTGTCCTTTTTCAGGAGTCGTCATGTAAATATTTCTTTTGTTTATATTTTGCCCTAGTTTTACAGAATTTGAAATTGAATTAAGATTCTGTTAACATGCTGGTGTTTTTTTTTTTTTCATATTTATAAATTTATTGTATAAACATACTGACGATAATAACATTGAAGTTTTACCTAAACAACTTGGACTTAGGTATAAAATTTGGTACAGTGATTGAATGATAGAAAGAATTAACATACTTTATTTGTCGAGTAAGTTAAGTATTAGTATGTAATCAGGATATCTATACGTATAGTTACAGAAATAATATTTCAATATTCGAAAACAGTCAAGAATATTTCTAGATTATCATTATGTCTCAAGCTTCAATTTGTTTGTTTGGGTAGACTGTTTGATATCAATTACCCAAACGCTTACAAAATTGTGCTGCAAAGATATCCTACTAGGTGGATGTGATGCCGTGCCATCGTTTTATGAAAGAAATGTTCACATCATTCATTCAATTTGACAACAAAGTTTCATATTAGCTCAATCTTATTTAAAAGCACGTGCATTTGGATCCAAATTGTGAACATGTCTTGATATATCGTCATAATTATAAATATATTGTGATTCGAAATCATTTTACCCGAAAATACTAACAAATATCACTCTTACCAAAAGCAACTTGTAGAACACTGTTTTCATAAAACACATCCATCGTGAATACCCAACAAAGTCAATCTAAGATTTTTTTCAGAGCTTTCAAGCTTTCGACTGTGTTTACTACGCGAATACGATTTGAGAAAATCATAATGGTTATGTAGCATACGCTGAGGAACAGTCGAGTCAATGTTATGTTAACGACTCTGACTTTTTCGGAAGCTCACGTTTTCCTTAATTGAAAGCACCAGAAGAAGCATAGATCTGTATTTGCAATTGTCATAAAAGTGTTAAGGACAAGGTGTGTTCCATTTTACATGTAGATATCAATATATATATCATTGTCATGTTAACCTTTCACTTTGTATAAACATGTTTATCCATTTTGAATTTTTATCAGTTTTGTACTCGTAATATATCTCTTCCAACAACAGCAACAACAGCTAATTGAATCCAACGGTTGTGAATCAGTGTCTCAAATAAAGAAAAGGTCTTCTTCTGAAACGTAAATATGTTTGTTTATACATAACTGTTAAACTCTTAACATTCGAAATAGATGTATTCTTTCAGATTTTACTTTGTTTCATGTCGAATTATCCTAATCTCTTGGGGTTTTTCTCTTCAAAAATAAGACATGAAGATCTTTTAATTATATTGAGTAAAGTAAAGAGAAATTCACGTCAAGCAGTAACCAGTGTAAGAGGTATATCTGTCGTATCTATGTCGGGATTTATCGGATCTCTTAGACCTACAGGCAATGTCTGTTTCAGGACGGCAGAAGCTCTATGTAGTTTGGGCAACAAGTGAGATATGTACAAACTAGCGCAATGACCCCCCCCCTCCTCCTCCTCCCTCCTCAGCCCCCCCCCTCCCCTTAACTCCTTCCCCCTCCCCCTTCCCTCCTCCCCCTCCCCTCCTCCCTCCTCAGCCCCTCCCCCCTCCTCAGCCCCTCCCCCTCCTCGCCCATCCGTAATAAGTGTTACATATCTGTCGACAAATACTTTATTTGTTTGTTTTCATCAGAAAACTAAAGATGTTTCCATTTGTTATGTACCTGGATAATTCTCATATTCATCCAATTTTGTTTTTGTGTGAATACTTTCATTTTTCATCACTATTTTGTGGATTTTCCATTGATAGATAAAACATGAATCACTTTGCATGTGTCTTTGAAATGATAAAGTCACAAAATTACTTTGATAGAATATCGTTGATATAAGATTGTCACCGACAGATCATTATGTAGCAAAGTTTAAGATTCATAGATAACTTCAATAGCACGTTTTTATCATAAAAAAGTTCGTTCGTCAACAAAGTCAGGAACACTATTGGTGAAATGTTCACCAAATGTAAGGTACATTATCTCGATGTTTCATCTAACCGAATCGACTACAGTGAATTGTTACCATCTCGTCACACTATCATTTAACTTAGTGTACATAGGATTATAGCATAGACGAAATGGTTGGTCGATTCCGTAACATCTCGTACAATCCATAGATCAGTTCTAATACGCATATCTGATGGTGACAGTGTTGTCATTGAAACCTGACAAGTAAATCTTCTACAAGTCGTGACATAATGATTTCTATTCGAATGAATTATCCTGAATTTAGCTATATCATATGCAATCTTTTTGTTCTTTTTTTTTGTGAATGTCAAAAAGGTAGTTTAGGTCACAATTTCAAAATGAATACATCATGCCTATTCTTGTGACCCTGGTTAGGTAAAAACGAACATACCGTGAAGAGAATACAGTAGGCAACTATAACAGGCTTCATAACGTGGCGAAGATGTCTCTTTCAGAATAACAATATTTTCCCACTAAATAAAACTTTTAGGATTTTATGGTCACAACTTTTTTGTCATTTTGATCCTGTAAAATAATGGATATGTAACATAGGTGAAAATTCCTGAATTCAGATTTGCTCTTTCAAATATTACCCTTAACTGTCAATTACGCTGTGAAAAAATATGGAGAAATTGTGAGTTGTGATATCAGCTGTTTGAACAATTCATTTCTTAAGACGTGCTATTCTGGTGATAGGACAGTAAGATATTTGAATTGATGTGAACTTTCACCTCACTTTGGTGGTAGAAGAAGTAGGATTTAAGTTGATGATGTCAGTATGGCTATTTACATCTTCGATACTCTAGGGATTACGATCACTTTTGATCTCTACACCCCTGGAACAAGTCATGACAAAATTGAAGGTTCCATGTGCGACACATTGTAGACGAGACGAAAAGAAGTTTGATCCTTTGATGTACATCAAACAAATCTCAGGTCGCATAACGGTATATTGTAATGGTTTCGAAGTTGGATGTCGCTTGTTTGCAATCTTCAAAAGGAGCGTAATTAGTCTGTGATTGGTCATTTTTTCTCCTGGAACCAAACAAATAACTTTATTTACGCCCTCAGGTTTGCCAAGACATATCGAAATGGGTGCAAAGAGCTATAGTAATCGTAACCCCTGGGGTATCGAGGATGGACTGTTTTTAGAATAAAGTGTAAAGTTTCCACACACGAACTTCCATGAACTATCCCAAAAGGAAACGTGTTGGCATCTATGCAACCAAACCAAACCGTGCATAACTCCTTAAATTAACTTTCGTTAGCCATGTTTTAAAGTACAAACCAAACAGTGCATAACTCCTTAAATTAACATTCGTTAGCCATGTTTTAAAGTACAAACCAAACCGTGCATAACTTCTTAAATTAACTTTCGTTAGCCATGTTTTAAAGTACAAACCAAACCGTGCATAACTCCTTAAATTAACATTCGTTAGCCATGTTTTAAATTACTTTTTGTCGATCAATCAGTAAGACACGAGTCCATCTCTTTCATCTTATAAAAGATGATAGTTTAGATAATACCTCAAGTATGCTAGTTTCTTAACGTCGTCGTATTGATTTGTGAGGACAATTTATATCTTTTGTAATTAAATGTGTGTTCAGGTATAACATTTCAGTGTGATGACACTATACAAACATCCGTCAGTGATTCTTTTATCAATGAACACTAGATTTTAGACGTAAGACCCCAAACAAATTATTTCCTGTAAAAATGCACGAAGATGTTGGAAATAACATAGTGAAGTAGGAAAAGATCTCTTAATGAAGTGATATCTTCCATCGTTGCTAAAATCACGCAGCACGTGTTAGAGTGATGCTGTCTCTTCTTGATGCTATCAACCTTCCCATGGAAACATTTATCCGATACAACATGGAACCTCATTTGTCTATACACCAAAAATCTGGTGAAAGGTCAGGGCTCCAATACACGTTAAAGTATCTTAGATCATCTTTATAAGAATGAACAAGTTTAATTGTTCATAGTTCATCATATTACGAACTTTATGTTGTGGATGTATTTCTCTATACTCTTTATATTATCTGCGAGAAAATATTTCCGCATTTTTTTCAAACGATTTACCTTTTAATGGAAGAAGAATACATGTACTTATTGTCTTAAACTTTATATAAAACAAGACAAAATATCTACAGTGATTTATGAACTGTTTACATTTTGAAGAGTCTATTGGAAAGACAGGTAAATCTTAAAATAAGTGATGCGAAAATTATTTTTCGCAAAACATAAACGATTTACAGTTAATATACTATTCTGGTTATGTTTTATATAGTCTATATGTTGGAAAAATCCGACTGAAAAAATATATACCAAGACTACTTTGTAATTTTCTATGTGGAATTGAGTTGGCTGTTAAATCATACGATTATATTATATGCTCGTTGTCTGTGCTTCGTTGGTACTGTTAACTCTAGAATTGGTTACTCAATCTTCCCACAAAGGAAGGGCGAATTGTAGTGAGTAGATATAGACAAATAAAGATACCGACCATGTATATCATATATGTTGTTTTGATGGTGTATTAGTTATGTTTTAATACAATTATACATGATATACTGCAAAAATGATGGTTTTCGCGAGTGAAAATATTTCGCAGTATTGTAATTGCGTGGACAGTAATGTATTACTCGCATATTTGTTTCGTCATTGCTTGATGAAGTGTATATCACTGAATCAATGCTAAAATGCACTCTCGTTAAATGCTGTCCGAGTTTAAGTCGAACTGCGCAAAATAGACTTCATCACAAAAACGTTCACTTTTGCGGTATATATATTGCCAGTGTCGGTAGAACCTGTCTCGTGGAATGAATTGAGTAAAGGATTATATACTTTTCAATTTACAATGTCATTAAATATAATCATGACAAATGTAGTGGGTTTGATATCATGGTTATATAATATGCAGCATCCTCATCATTTTGCGAGTTTACAGTATGGTAAATACATGCTTAAGTCCCCTTGCTACTGTAGGTTATCATATATCCTTACGTTGCTATGTCACATTAAGTAACCGTACATACTTACGTCACTATGTCACAGTAAG